GCTCTTCCGTTCATTCTTGTCTGTGATTATTGTTGGTGGGGTAATGACATAAACCTAAAAACCTTTATGAGGGTTTTTTCTTTTTTAATAGCAAGAGAAGAGTGAACAGTGTCTCTCTCCCTAGCTCTCTCTCTCTGCCCCTCTCTCCACACAACCAAGCATACACACAGGCACACACTTTCAAGCCACAATTTAAAATTTTATGGCAGTAATTTTTGTAAAAATTCTTAGCTTTAGCATTACTTCAAAAATCTTAACAGTAATCTCAGGATGACCTAAACTCCATTCCATTGACTTTTCTGTATTGATAGGTAGTATCCGTAGCTATTTTTAAAGCAATTTAAAATATACATACACACTTTTAAAACTGGAATTAAAATCCACTTGGGTGAAGAAGAACTATATAAAATCCACATGATTAAGATGATTATAAAATCCATCAGGACAAGTTAAACTAAATTTATAACACTCACAAGAAAGTCTACTACATTCTCTCAACTGGCTTTCAATATTTCTAATGACACTGATATGTAAGTTGAAAATCACCTTCAAAACCTCTCCTCTAGGTTTCTCTTGCCATGAATTCAAATCTCATCCTATAGACCTATCCATGGTGAAGAAGATGTAGTTTTAGTGCTCTGTCATCTCATAAATTTCCCTTTGAATAACCGACAAACTCATTCTATTTTTTTCTCTATTACCTAAATATTTCATATGGAATTCTACAGTGTAATTGGTTCACTTGTAAAGACTGTGGAAGACTTTGTTATCAAAAAGTGACCTTTGAGGGTAAACTGTTTAATATTTTTAGTCAAGTTAAACAAGAAGGGATTTTATTTTCAACTTCAAGGTGAAAGAGCCCTTGACTTAGCTATTAGGCATACCTGTGAGGTTGCCTCACTGAGTAGGATGGCTACTTCGAGCCTGGAGATAAGGGGAGGGTCAATGATAGAAACCTGTTCACCACCAGGTAACCAGAAAGTTGATCTGGGAACTAATACTGAGGGTAATATACTGAACAAGAACCTAAAGAACTCCCTTCACGTGAGTTCCTATCCTTTTATTCTCTTAGATCTGGCATTTCATCAAGTCCATTAGAGACTAGAGAAGTAAGAGTATCTATGATTCACTGCTATTAGTGGGGTGTGTTCTCTTGGAGAAGAATAGAGTGATTCAGGTTAGATTAATAACTCAGTGAGGAAGGCGGTGGGTGAGTGGGAGGGTCATGGCAGAAGAGTTAGATGGTGGGAAGGTAATGGTAATAAAAGTATTGCTCAAGGCCACATCTTCTCAGATCCTTTATTAACTCAGAAATGTCATTTGGAGAAAAAAGGCAATAGATGTCAGCAAATCCTTAAGCAACAGAACATGTCTTACAATCATCTTTAACCACCTGAAGTTTGAGAGGTAACAACTCCCAAGATAAT